TTAGGGCATCTGCGACGACGTTCGCCTTCCCCGGATGGTACTGAATGGAACAATCACAATCCTTGACCAATTCGAGCCAACGGCGCTGCCTCATATTAAGCTCCTTCTGGGTGAAGATGTACTGTAGGCTCTTATGGTCAGTAAATATCTCGCAGCGTCCACCATAAAGATAATGACGCCAGATCTTCAGGGCGTGAACAACTGCGGCTAACTCTAAGTCGTGCGTAGGATAATTCTGCTCATGAGGCTTAAGCTGACGTGAAGCATACGCAACGACCTGTCCGTACTGCATAAGGACACATCCCAGGCCCTGTCTCGAAGCATCGCTAAAGATAGTGAAACTCCAAGAAGGATCGGGAATAGTCAACACCGGTGCTGAATTTAACCTCTTCTTGAGCTCCTCGGAAACAGTAAAACTGGTATGTACAAGCTTAACTTAAAGCTTATACTTACTGATTGCATGACTTGAGAATCCAGTAATTTAATACTGAATAAAAGACTTGATCTGAACTGAAGATACATCAATTCACAATTAAGTGAATTGTAGAATACTGCTGACTGAAAATGGACACTTTTCTAAAAGAAAGTGTTTTACTGATAAGACATGATTTCAAAACGAAAAGAAAAAAAAAATGTTGGTCATCTTCTCCTGGCTGCTGGCGGATCTCCAATCGGAAGGCTGGTGGTGAAGACTCTCTTCGCAATCTCCCCGTGTACTGAGACTCAGACATGGCATCCTTCAATGGAAAGCGTCGGTTTATCATCATGGCACGATCCGTTGTTGTCGATTGGCTCTTCTCCATCGCGACGAATGTCAACCTGTGGTACCTGCAACTTTTTACTCCCTCCGAGGTTACACTTAACCTCAAGAAGAAGTCCCTCATGACTTAATATCTCCTACGATTTCTCAGATTCTTCAGAATTTGAGAATCGAAGCGCTGACATACTGAAAATGGTAGATAAGTCTTGTCTTACCAGACAGACTATCCTCGATCTTGTCGTGACTGACCTGAATACTCTCATGGCTGAATAACCATGACTTGACTCTCACATGGCTGAATTATCTATGTTCGAACTCTGAAATCTATCCCGAGATAACTTAAATAGTCGCTTCGGGACTGAAAACGTGATATTTACTGACTTACTTGACTTGATAAGGTACGACTTCAAGTTTCCAGGAAAATCTGGACTAATAGTCTGTATATCAGACCGCTACCTTTTACCCGGCTGAACAACTATTATACGTCGACCTTATATCATGAACATAAACTGTAAATTGTGAACGTGAACCCTGTACTGTATAGGGCTGTTCCAGTATCAACTGGTCCCGCAAGTACAAAGTAATTAGCTGATCTTGACTTCTGAAAGTCATAACTTAAAATAGCATGACTGATAGAATATCTGACATGACTGACTTGAAAGGTTGTTATTACCTGAAATCTTACTGATTCGGCCCCAGCTTCAAGCCTCCATGGTATACCCGGCTGAGTGGCTCTTATTTCAAGCCTCCATGGTAACCCAGACTATTGACTCTTATACACTGGAAACCGTTACCTTAATAATGACTTGAGAACTATAACAACCTTTAACATGAACATTCTTGCTTTGAACATGACTTACTGATCTAACTTAGGAACTTTGAGTCTATTCCTTGAATTAAATCAAGGAATTTCTCCCTGAAGTCTGCCAACTGATTGACAAAATGGCAGTTTTTGATAAAAATTTCTGAGAAACATGATTCTTACGATTTGTTTAGCACAATGCTTACAAATCTTCTGACAAGTTACTAACTTGACTTGAATAAGTCTAGAATTGAATCTAGAGTTCTTAAACTCAATCCTTTTCTACGGTTCTGAATTCATTTGCCCCGGATACGGGGATTTCTTTAGCCGAAGAATTTCTCAACATGATAGTCGCGGAACTGTGCGACTACTGTGACTTGAATAAAAACTGAGTGATCGGGTTTCCTTCGGGGCGGTATCTGAACATCGAGAAAAGTTTAATATTACTGAACGTTACTGAGTACATGATAATCTTACTGACTAATTACTAAGGCACACAGATCTCTTGACGAGTTGCCAAAAATGGCCGATAAATACTTGACATGAAACCTGAAGAACTCTAGAGTTATCTCGGAAGATTCTAACGTCTAGAGTCATTTCTAAATGCCTGTATTCTAGAGTCATGTCCAAACTCTAAGGTCTGAATCTGATTCGAGCATCTTAACTAAAGTCCTGATCCTCAATTCTGAGCATAGACAAAGTAATATGTTTATAACTGAAAAACTGAATTGCAACAGCACTTACCTGTCGTCGGCGGGGCGTGAGCATGACGGCTCGGGTTTTCTGAAAAATCACTGACTGAAGACTTTTCTGACTGAATACTTATCAGAGACGCAGAAACGTGCTCTGATACCAATTGTAACACCCCACCTCACTGTAAAATCAGAGTAGCGCAATAATTCGCAAAGTCTTTGAAAATTAAAACATTTTTACTTTGCGAAACTGATTTGGGGTGCTACCGTGAAAAATCATTACTTAACTTTAGAAAACCGTTGTTTTTAGTTTAATAAAAATGTCCGGTTACTGAAAAACTGTATTTTCTTAAAAGTTCATCAAGTGATGTGTCCGTCAAAACGTACGTCAAAAGATATCAAAATCATCATCACAAGTCGTCAAAAGGTAAGCGGAAGCGTAAGTCATAGTTATACAGTTCAAAACATATACATAAATATCCTGCAAGTCCCGATATGCCCCTTCACGTCACGCTCCCTGCCCGACATCCTGACCTGAAAAAAACATAAATGAACTGGGGAGTGAGCACTAAGGCATTGTGCTCCGTGGAAACTCATACTAATGTAAAACATCGTAAATAATAACAATATCATGAACTAAGCATATATGTCTGAACTGAACTGATACCGGTCTGAACTCGCGACCAAAGTCACGTAACTGAATCTGCTCGGCACAAACTAAGGTCGCTCGGCACAAACTAATGCCGCTATCTCCCGGCACAAACTAATACCGGACCATG